TCCCACCTGTCCTTACTCCGCCTCGCCCCCCCCCCACCGGGCCCCTCCACACCCCGCACCTGGAATGCGCCCTGCGCAAATAAAAGATGGAGGAGCGGTGGCGCTGTCTCGGGGATTTCCGGTCGCCGTCTCGGGGTGGTGACCCTGGGGAACTCCCTCGAAAGGGGGACGAAGACCCATTGTATCCCACGGTAAAGTTTTCGTAAGCCTTTTACCTACTACGGCGTAGCCTGATTACACATAGTTCGGTTTTCCTGGTGAGTGCAAGGAGGAGCTGGTCTCTTTAACAGAGCTTCGAATCCTTTCGTTTCCGTCTCTAAAGAGCAAGCAAGAGAAAAATAATGAATGATGCCCCTTTTGACGTTGTTCTTTCCTTTGAATCTTGCAATATCGGAATTAAACTTTGTTATATATTCTTAATTAGTTGTATATTCTTAATTAATTGAAACAGGTTTCCTCGAATACTGTGCGAGGGACAAAAGGGGTATGGAGGGGCCAAGGAGTGACAAAGGAGCCGTGGTCTTCCTTAATAATATGCGTAATTAAAATACTTTTATTGTAATTAGATAATATAAGGAGTTCTACAGATTCTACCATGTTCACCTGTGTTTGAGAACATCTATTTGCGTTACTCTTGAATGAAACTTAGGTAATAGTTTCTTCCTTCCCGCTCCCAAACCATCAGCCGGAGTACAGTCGGGTAATGCCTTCTAAAGTAGCCAAAGGTGATCGGAGAGCGGGTGTGACGGAAACCTGACCGCGTGATGCAATCGGGCGAGTCCCTTCAAGGAACTTGTCGCCACTGCGCCCCGCGGTCATGATTTCCTTAGCCTGGGACCTCCAAAAAGCCTGTGCACGATTCCATTTCAGATGTTCTTTTGCCTGAAGAACGCATGATAACAGCCCGTTTGTGGTTTTCCTCGAGAGAAAGTAAAATGAAAAGATCGTGTAGGCAGCGGTGCTTCTTTCCGATTTGATGTGGGTCAGCCCAAAAAGATTTCAAGAGCAAACGAACAAATGTGCAATTAATTGTTTTTGTTTTATCTTACTCCTGTATTACAATAATTGGTAAAGAGGGTATTCAAGCAAAGATTTTTATTTTGAAATTAGACTGCATTAAATGTGAATTTATTGAAACTGATTTGTACGTGTGTATTTAATTCTGTTAATCTCACATGTGTGCGCAAGTTCTTCCTTGACTAGTACAGTGGCACCGTATATTCGTTGATCTTAAATACTGACTAGACTACATAGTTTCCTCCCTCTCCCGTAACACAAGTAGGAATGCAACTGGGAAGTGGGTAGGAGGCCTAGGGTGATGTGGGCGATGCCTGGACTCTTTACGAAAATTGGGTCACTTTTTTTCCTTTCTAGTCAATTTTATATCGCTTTGAATGTATAATCATTGCTAATTTAGTCATATTTTATTTATACATTGTAGTCTTTTATTGTTTTTTTATTAAATCAAATTATTATTTTCTTAATATGACAGCTTATACTTGTGCAGACGTATATTTACGCAAATTGATATCC